TGATCGGAACCAGACTCGAACTGATGACCGCCTGTGTACACTTGAAGTGTTAGACAGAAGTGATAACCAACTACACCATCCGACCTTCAGCGGACGGATAGCTGACACATCATTCTACTTCCTTCGCTTGCGGTTTCGTATCCAAGCACTAGAATCAACTTTGGATGACTACATATTCTTAGACTCATTCAATTGCAATGACCATTGGTACCACTCCTGGAGTGCATCGATAGAAAGAGCAAAATATTGCTTTGAATTGACTTGACGAATTCATTTCAGCTTCCCTAGGATCGCTTTCAGATCGACCGCCTGTCATAATAGGGGATTGAGCTTACACTGGATGAGCTTCTCCCCCCTTCGCATATAAATTCTGCATCCATCTCCGGCCTCCACGAGAGCATATTCCCGGACTGAGCAGTTTCGATTGAGTTTACACTTCACTGCGGCTGTTAACAGTTAAGGCGTACCTGCCTCCTTCTGATCCCTCAGAATAAACACCGGTGTCCCATAATTAACATCCCAGACGACTATGTCCTTTCCAAGACCTAACATGGAGAAGTGCTTTGCGTTATAATTCCGAGGCACAACTCCAGTTGGCTTGAATGTATATTACCACTTATCAGCTCTGACTTTCACTATCGCACCTGAAACTTACTGTGAAGGAGGTTTCCAGATCAAAGATCTCATATGACCGTTGAGGGGGTGGTCTGTCAGTTCCAGCTCTCAGCTGATCAACTAGCTCAGCGAAAGGCCAGAAAGAAGCCCTTGCATGCCCTTGTCCGTGAATCACTAATCCGGATACTCCGTCTACAGAAATCGCCCGTAACATAGGTCCGACGAGCCATGAGAAACAGGCCAACGGAGTTAGCAGCTGCCCATTTGGTTCCAAACCCCATATCCGAACACCAGACTCTGTGGACGCCGCAATGTAATGACCATCACCCGACACTACGACGCCATAGGCAATAGTGTCCAGCTCTAGGCCACAAATTTGAGCTGGATCATTGTTTATATCCCAAATGCGGAGGGTGAGGTCTTCAGCACTTGTGATCAAATGTCGGCCTTCAGAGGTGAAGACTAGTGATACGATTGGTTGAGAGTGACCATGATACTCTCCAACGATTTCTTGAGTAGTAACATCCCATAACTGAGAAAAAAAATATCTCCACAGTTTTTTGAGCACATGATTGTAATGAGACCATACCAGAATGGGATTGCTTGATTCGTTATTGGCCCCTCCAGCAATTATCGTGCTGTTCGGCACAAAAGCGAGTTCTGCGATAGCAGAGCCATTGTCGTTGGAAAGAGAACTAAGGTGATTGTTAACTTTCTGCTAATAAAGACAGAGCGGAACTAACCAAATGTGCTTTAGGTCACCATCGAAAACTTCAATGCTAGTCCTGAAACCTGGAATAGCAACGTAGTTGCAGTTCGAGGATATAGCGAATGAGTAAATAACACTAAATAAAACAAGTAGTAAGCCCCTTTCTCCAAAAGCGAGAGGCACGACTTACCTGTCCACTTCTGTTTCTGCGATCATCTGGGGATTGAACGAATCTGGATAATCTCTGTTGGACAGGATGGTCCAATCATTTTGTCGACCCTCATCGAAACAGCTAAACTAAAGACTTGTTATCGCAGTCGCATATAGGAGAGTATAAAATTTGTATACCTGATCTACAAGTCCAATGTTATCAATATTTCTGATAAACTCCACAAACTGGTTCACCGAGGGTCGACGTTCAGGCCACCATTGCCAGCAACCAGAGAATAGCTTCCATAATGGATGGTCTATCGAAAGTTCTTCATAGTCCTCTGGAGATGGTACTTTTCCGCGAGTGATTGCGCGTACGACAGTAACATCAGCTTGTCGGTGAAAGGGTATTTTTCCAGTCAAGATCTAATTCATATATCGTCAAACCCCGCGAAAAAGGTGTGCATAAGGGAGCGCTAACCTCCAAAACCAATGCCCCAAGTGCCCATACATCACTTGCCCTGCTCTTGTGCCCTCTTGTATTGCTAAAGAGCTCCTGACTGGCCCATCTGGTAGAGCCTTTGCCAAACCTTGGGGCTGCCGATGTTCCGTGTCTGAGGGTATCTGCCATCAGCTCCGCCAGCCCAAAGTCGCAGAGCTTTGGGACCCCATCTGCGCTGATTAATATATTTGCCTATGGATTACGATTAGCGGAAACAATGTCCAAGGCGAATTCTCTCACCCCTTTGAGATCCCCATGTATCAAAAATGGTCGTAAGGAATGAAGATGCTGTACACCTTCGGCAATTTGTAGACTCTGTATATACCAGAGCCTCATTAATTTATTTAGATGATTTGACTGAACAACTCACCAGTAACAATCTATCAGCTTCCGGTTTTTGTTGCAGGTACTCTATGACAGTACCAGAAGGATGCCATTCGGTGACTAAGGCAGCATAGATACCATCATCCGCGTTTTCCAACAAAAATCCGAAGCATCTAGCAATGCTTGTGTGGACAAGAGGTGCCCAGACGGAGAGCTCGTGAAACAGATCCTGTGTTGACCTAAACATGAGAAGCGATATTCAGCCACTATCAAACGCGAACGTACTTCTTCCGCCTTCTCATAGGGTTTGAGCACCTTGACCGCTACCTGTAGGAAGCAAGAACGTGGAAGTATATATGGTCCCTTTTAGCGAACAACGCAACTGATGTATCTCGACACGTACTAACCTGAATGTCTCTATCTTTTCTGACCCAAGTGCCCCGCCAGATGTCAGAAAATCCCCCATGTGCAAATGGGCTAACGTTAGACAGTAATTGTTTGGCATCGTACTTCTGATATGAATCAGTGATCTCACTAGTCACCAAGAGTCTTAACAGTGCCCTTCAAATTGTAATGACCAACTGCCTTCCTTTCGGTGTGAGTGGAAATTACGTTTTGGGGAAGAATACTTCCGGAAATGCGATGTCTCTTCATTATTTTGGAATAGTATCATTGTATACGAGGACTGACTTGGTATCAACAGATCCATCTGGGGTGGCAGTATCTGACGAGTGTCGATCTGGAGTAGGAGTTGGGCTACTTGACACAGGCGAATCTGTTTGAGACCCTCTTTTGCGATGAGACCGAGATTTTTCTTTCAAGCCCTTGAAGAATTTCTTCATTTATTGTGATCCTAGGACGCGGAATCCCCGAGGTGGTGGTCAACACTGAAATGCCTCCTGCTCACGTGGGGATTATCTAATGAGGTAACATGGAAGTCAGATTCCAGTTCCAATTCAGGTCTTATGTGTGACAGAGGAGAATGCAGACGAACTCATCGCGTGGATTCTCTTGTAAAACACTTATCGGCGCAAAGGTGTCTATGAGCGAATGTTCAAAGTATCTGAAAGGGCTGTATACCGGATGTGAGAGCACATTCACAGGCGGAATCTGGTATTCAAGCCGCATTGCAAGACATCACATGGTTATTGATGTTTATTACTCCTACATAATTTCACCTACAAATAAGCCCAGTCAAGGAAGGAGTGAGGTTCCTACCAATATTAGCGACCAAATTTCTTCAAGGGATCACTTTTCTTGCCCCCTCGATTACTTTTCCCTTTTCCCTTTCCCATGCCTCGAGTACTGCCATGACGTCCGTCATGTTTCTTGAAAGGTACAAACGTGTCTTGCTTCAAATCGGAGTCATTTGCAGTAGATGCTTTCACCGCCATGGGCAAGAGATACTTGGGCACATGCTTCATGTGAGACTGAATGCGGGTGGGATGAAGTGGTTTGTCGTGTCGTAGGTAGTCCAGGTCAAGTGGGTTGTCCTCGAAGTGAGCCTAGTTGTGACGTAATTGAGCAACACACTACGAATATGATCAGATCGGGGCCTGAACTCACCTTCAGCTTTTCTGAGTTGAGGATTTCCGACTTCAACTCTTTTAATCGGGCTTCCTTAATAGCATTCCTGGTGACAGCCCTTAGCGCATCTTCCATCCTGTAGCGGAATGCGTCTACTGTCTTCATATCGAACTTGTATTCCTTCAACTTGCTTCCTCTCCCGGCTTGCTCCTCCTCGATTTTGGCAAACACTTCTTCATCAAACTCTGCACTTTCAATAGTGACATTCTTATTTTTGTTCCATTCTTCTTTCTTTACGACGTAGGAAAGAGCCATTCCGGAGCGGCCGGCCCTAGCTGTCCTGCCAACACGATGCGTATATGCACGAGATGATGGTGGAAGATCGAAATTGATGACGCAGGCAACATCAACGAAGTCGATACCACGGGATACACCATATTCCCGATCCCCGCCTTTCCGTGCCTTACGTTTTCGTGGTTTTCCC